CAGTGTGTAACGTGGCGAAGTGTTCGTGTCAGAGTCCCGTTAACACATGATTGTTTATACAGAATAATCCGCCACCTGTGTCACTGATGACATCACTGAGTGTCGTTATATTAAAGACACCACTGATGATTTCCTTATTTTGTGTCAGGCTCACAAACACGTGCCCAAGACACTATTACAATGTGCATGTTATGTGACTGCTCAGCCCTCAAATAAAATACTCTGCTTTTTATCTCATTCTGCCACAAGTGTAGGTCCCCTTATTTTAGTTTAATTTTAATTTGATACACTTTATTAACCCCTGAGGGTTGTTTTCACTCAATGTTTTCACTCTTGTCATTTACACACACAGGCCCGAATTACACACACATGCACAAACAGGAGCTATACATGCATTACATGGAGAGATGTCAGAGTGAGGGGGCTGCTCATGACAGGCACAGTTTGGGGGTTCGGCGCCTTGCTCAGGGGTGCCTCGGCAGTGCCCAGGAGCTGAACTGGCACCTCTCTGTTGACTAAAATGGAGTGTAAGGGATGGGTGGTTAGTGGAGTGTTCCATGGCACTCCATAGGCTTTCATGGATGACCGCAGTTGGAGAAATAATAGAGAATAACTCAAATTTTTCATGATCATCCAGTCCCCCAAAAATCAACATAAATAGAGGTCATTATAAAAGAACATCCCTTATGTCTTCATATACAGGACAGTAAAACAAGAAATTAACCTTATTCTCAACCTCACCTACATTACACAACAAAATATTCTGTCCCTCTCTGGGGTGGAGTTAAACCTCCCAGTCTCTATGGCTGATGAACACAACTGTGCACACAGAGACACTACAATCAGATGAAACCTCCTCTGACTGCTCACAGGTGTGAACGCTTAGGCAGCATGTGTTGTATATTTTCAACAACTTTAAGATCACTTTTTGAAAATGTTTTCTTTTGGACATTTATGTTATTTTTCTGTTTGTTAGCGTAATAAAGCCTTTTATCGTCAACAAAACAAACACTTCAGTACAGTAACATTTTAACATTTCTGAGACACTTGTACTTTATACAGGCATTTGTATTTTGTTAAGCTTTTATTTCGTTTTTTTTTTTTTAACACTGTTAAACACTGCAGTTATCCGACAGCTGTGGCCTTCAAGATGAGACAAGAGCACATATAAAGGCCACTTCCAGCAACAACACACAGCAGCACAGTGATACTCCACCAGCGGCCTGTGGGCCACAAAGGTGATACACAAAGGGATTTGTTTGCACTTTAACGTTAATTAGGTGCCAGGGTGCAATAAAAGCATCCAAACAGTGCCAGGGAAGGATCACTCGGACCCCCAACAGAGGTCTGAGGTCTGAATGACCTCAAATCATAGAAACGCCCCTGCACACACCTGCTATGTGCGGGGCTTTTGAGCCAGGCCCCTGGCCTCCTGTCATTTTGCTGAAGTGGCCCCGGGCAAAGCAAGTTGAGGATCCCTTCAGTAGCACTTTCAAGTTAATAAACCAATCTAAGAGACCATTACCCACAGTGACTGCTGATGTATTTGGTACATGTTACTCCCTATACATCTTTACTTCTGTCAAGAAGTATCTCATATTTTACTCAGACTTGAATGTTTCTTCCTGCCCTATACATTGCACAGTTTGGTCTGAAGGTGGCGCCAAAGCACAGGCCATGACACCTGACTCAGAGTTTGTCATGGTGACCATGAGGTGTAGTTACAACTACAACCCCAGCTCCACAAAAAGTTGGGACGCTGTGTAAAATCAGTATGCAGTGATGTGCAAATCCTTTTGGACCTCTATTCAAACTCATAAACAGTATTTATTTTCAATAATATACATTTATTCTGATCCAAAACACAGAGGCATGTTCACCACTGTGTGACATCACCTTTTCTTTTAACACTCAGTAAATGTTTGGGAACTGAGGACACGAATTGCTGAAGTTTTGAAAGTGAAATTCTTTCCCATTCTTGCCTGATATACGGCTTCAGTTGTTCAGCAGTCCAGGGGCTCCATTACTGAGTTGTGCTTCATCATGAGCAACATGTTCACCTGGAGTCAGGTCAGTCTGGTACCTGCACTCTGTCACTATGAAGCCACGCTGTTGGAACACGTGCAGAATGTGTCTCATTGTCTCGCTGGAATAAGCAGGGACGTCCCTGAAAAAGACGTCGTCTGGATGGCAGCATATGTTGCTTCAAAACCTGAATGTACCTTTCAGCATTCATGGAGCCTTCACAGATGAAGAAGTTACCCATGATGCCAGTGGCTCTAACACACCTCCATACCTTCACAGATTCTGGTTTTGAACCTTGAGCTGGTAACAATCTCTGGACGGTCCTGGATGATCCTCTCGTGCCACAGCATCATGAACGTCCACGATTACCGAAAACAATTTGAAATGTGGACTCGTCAGACCACAGCACACTTTTCCAGGTTGTGTCAGTCCGTCTCAGGTGAGGTTGGGCCCAAAGAAGTCTCCAGCGCTGTTTCTGGATGTTGTTGATATCTGGCTTAAACTTTGCATGGTAGAGTCTTAACTTGCATTGTAGATGAAGCAACAAACTGTGTTCACTTACAATGGTTTTCAAATTGTCCCTGAGTCCATGTCATACTGTGCTTTATACAGTCAAGTCAGTTTTTCCAAGCAGTGTCCTCTTAGGGGTCAAAGGTCACAGCCATTCAGTGTTGGTTTTCAGTCTTGTCTCTTACATGCAGAGACTTCTCTGGATTCTGTGAATCATTGATATTATAGATTGTTGATGGTGAAATATCTAAATTCTTTGCAATGGTGTGTTGAGAACAGTTGTCCTCAAACTGTTGGACTGTTTGTCCCTGCTGTTTTTCAAAACGTTACCATCCCTGCTTGTGAACACCTGAGTCTTTTGAAGATGTCACGTTCACACCTATTAATGAAACTATCATTTGTCACCAGTTTACCTGTTACATTGTGTGTTCCAGGTGTTTTTGGAGCATTCAGCAACTTCCTCAGTCTTCTGTTGCTCCTGTCCCAACTTGTGTTGCAGCATCAAATTCTGATTAATTGTATATTTTACAAAAAACAAAGTTTATCACTTTGAACATTAAATATCTTGTCTTTAGGCTGTATTCATTTAAATATAGGTCAAAGGGGATTTACAATTAATTGCATTCTGTTTTAATGTATATTTAACACGATGTCCCAACTTCTTTTTGGAATTGGGGTTTGTACTAATACTACAACTGAACTACAGGTTCTTAAGACTGAAGGTTTTCTATTGTTTGAACCCTGTAATGTGGATTTAATCTGTTGTTACAGTGAGTCATGAAGATCAAGAAGAAACAAAATGAAAGCATGAATCACAGACTTGACGTAGAAAACACATTTAATTTAAAGCTTCAGGAGCAGTGCTTCATAGTGTTTCAGTGGTACAAAGATAAAACAAAACAAATAATTCATCTATCCATTATCTAATCTAAACATATACAAATACAGACAGACATTCACATGAGAAAGTTAGAGTTAAATAATTACAAATCATCTGAAAGAAATCACTGATTGGATTAAGGTCTACATGAAGTGAGAAAATGAGAGGACAGATGTGGTAACACTTTACCTGAAGTTCCTCTTTTCAGTATTTACACTACACAGACATTTAATCAGATAATAACACACAAAATGTAGCTGTATGCGGATAAGAGTTTGTTAATGTCAATAACTAAAATATATAACACTACAGTAAAACCGTTGTAACATAAAACTTCATAGAAGTTAAACATGATGACAAATTGTGAACATTTAGACATTAAAATGTCCTTTTATCTGCTGATAGCTACATTACAGTGTGTTACAAATCATTTAAGTGTTTGTATACTGCTTATAAACTCTGAGCAGGGGGATATAAAGTGTCATAAAAATAGCTTAAACACTGACAAGTAACAGAAGAATCAGTTATGAAACAGATTAAGAAGCACTTCTGAGATGCTGGAAAGATGTCTTCATAAATCCAGACTGTCTTTGGAGTAGAGAGGCACTATGGGTGCTACAGCACAAGGGCTGCAATGATTAGTCGACTAATCGATGACTAATCAACTATTCAAATAATCAGTGACTATTTTAGTAGTCGACTAATCGGTTTGAGTCATTTTTCATAGCAAAGTACTATAAAAATACCCAAAATACTCTTATTGCAGCTTCTTATGTACAAATATTGGCAGCTTTACATACTCTCCCATGATGGTGAACTAAAACCCTTTGGCGTGAGTACGAAACAAGACATTAGATGACATCATTTTTGGGTTTGGGAGAGACAGACCGACAACATTTTTTCACCATTTTAACACATTTTTCGATAAAATGATTAGTCGACTAATCGAAGAAATAATCGACAGATTAGTCAACAATGAAAATAATCGTTAGTTGCAGCTCTACACAGCACCAGAGAAAACAAAGACAAAGGGCTGTGGCATTCACTTTGACTCAAGAGGCAGAAAATCTTCAACTACCAGAATGCTCTGCAGCGCACTGGACCAATACACGCTCCTGCTGGTGGGTGACCTAACGTGCACCTGTCTGTTTGACACAATGCTGGTAACATACGATGGCGTATTTCATTAAAACGGTGAGATAAAGAGTGTTTCTCAAAACATCAGAGGCGAGAAATAGGCAACGCACTCAAAGAATCTTGGTTAATGCTTGATCAGTGCTACTTTATTTTACTGTTTAATCTAGGGCTGCCCCCGAACAGTCGACCAAATGTTAGTTGACTAGAAAGGTCATTAGTCGGCAAGATTTCATTGGTCGTTTAGTCACATAATAAAAGGATAAAAAAAAGCAAACGTGAAACTCTATCAGGAGCTGCACCATGTCAAAATAAATCCAAACCTATATGACTGGACCATGTGTGAGTTTAATTTGAAAGGACAGACACAGGAAGTGTCCACGCTCAGCAGTCAGACAGGAGTCAGGTTAATTTCCAGGGCTGGTACCTGCAGTTATTCCACAGGCTAGTTAATAACATGTCGGGCAGGAAATCCAAAGTGTGGGATCATTTTGAGAAGGTGAAGGACGAACCCAAGGTGATATGTAAACTCATCTTCATTGGTCGACTATTTGATCTCAGTTTGTTCAGGTTCTGTTTTTATAGTGCAGGAGAACAGTAAGGTGCCCACTTCCTGTTCACAAGCTCTAACTATGCACTAAAAGTTTCTGATGACGTTTTAGGAGAAATAGTTTGATCTTAGTTTGAGAGACAGTCTCTATCTGGATGTGCGTCTATACTCTTTGTGTCCGAGGTTGTGCAATACAAAAATGCGAAGTACAATCTGTAGGTTGAGCTGCAGAGCCAGTGAAAATCCCCTAAGAGATGAGCAGACAGAGCTGAGTGTTGGTAAGTTCATTTACACATACTGCACACATGGGCCACATGTACATGCACAAATTATTTTGCCCTTATTCCAAAGAAAGACAATATTCCTACTGAGCTGTTCACATGGCAGAAGAAAATTAATATTCCACTGCTACTCCCGTTGATATGCAGCCATGCACACCTAAAATAAATATAAAAATGGGAACAGCTGGAGCTGCTTATGCCTTTTTGCTTCTTTGCTTCAAATTGGGTTTTGCAAAGTTTCCTACTGGTGGCAGACGTGATGAAACGTGTCAACACAGCCTCCCTCTTTTAGGAAGAATGTGCTGTCTTTAAAAGTTAAGTGAATAATGTAAATAAGTTAGTTTAAAAAGAGTTTAAAAGCTAAAAGCAAGATATTTTCTGTTGGATTTTGAAAACAGCATCAGAGTAAGTCCTATCACCACTTTGTGCTCGGTCAGCCTACCTGCATTTTTCTCCGTTCAGTTTGCTAGCGTAGCCTCTCTCGAGTTCAGAATCAAATTTTTTGTCATTATACAAGTTGTACAATGAAATTAGAGTGCTTTGAGCACAGACAGTCAATGACAGAGCTGAATTCCTGAATTTGATAAATGTTTTTCCAGTACGCTTCTGCCTTAGAGATTATTTGTCTTTTTACAACAAAACAAAATTCACTAAATGAAGACTGCAGTAAAATACAAGAAAATCAAGCCTTGTGCATTTATCGGAGGACTTTGATATGTTGACTGGCTGTCTAGCCTCGCACAAGCTAACGTGCTGCAGGGGCAGTACAAGGAATGACTAGTGACTAATAAATACTAAACTAAAAATTAATATATTTTCTAAAAATCAATTGTTTAGTAAAGAAAAGGAACCTATAAGAGTACCGATAAAGAACCAAATCGATAAGGCACATCGTTAAATTAGTAGAATCGATAAAATCTTAACGATATCCATCTCTAAACAAATCTTACGTCAGGTTCCAGCCTGTGTACGCAAGTTTGAGTCTCCTCCGCCATCTGTTCGGCCAGGCACTCTTTGGTCTGGGTCAACTATAATCTTTTATAAGTATTATAACAGCATCAGTATCATATAATATGATAAACAACTGGAGTTTGATTGTCCAACGCAATGCTGTTGGCCACAGCAGTGATTTCTTTCAATACTTCATTTGATGTTGTTTTTTTAGGCTGCCAAATAGAACCAGCTGGTTGAACTGTAGCTGGGATGTCAGCGTTTCCATTTCTAGCTCAGAGAAGTTTCTCCTCTTGGCTGTATGACATCTCTCCATGTTGTGAACTCTCGAGGAGAGGCCTCTAAATCAAGAATATACTGGGGCAGCATAATTAAAAGACGCAGTCACATTTACCAAAGCCTATTCTCTGGTCAGCTAGTTAACATTTCACACACAAACCCTATCATGAGAGGATATCTGCACTCTGATCTGCGCTGGTTTGTATGTTAGGTTGATAAATGAGGGCCACTGAGCACAAAGGAGTCACACTATTTGTATGTGCACACATGCACACCATCCCTCGTGTACACAAATGTATAGATATGACCAATTGACATGATTAATATTAAAACGATAAAAAGGTCCCTGATTTCATAATACCAAGATTTTTGGCTGACTGGCATTTAAAAGTCTTGTGTCTTGTGTGTTTTTGGGGAGGCCAGTCAACTCAACCAAGTTTACAAACAGAGTCCAAGCCATCACTAAACTACTTGCACGTTGTTTCCAGGTCCGTCATGGTTCAGGTCATCTTGTGTTGTGGTCCTCAGAGGAATCGATTCAATGCCGTTTGTCACATTTGCCTCTTGCTCCCTTCTTCCTCCGTTTGTCCTCATACAGTTCTCTGTGACAACAAAGAAAGCAGTTTGAACCACCTTTTTCATCGATGTCGGTGTGTACTGGTTAAATAGAGTCCAGAAACATATCTAAAAATATCTCAGTCCAACCCCAATATTTGATCTCAGCTACGGGTTCATCAGAGCAAACAGCTTAAAGAGGCAACAGATAGCATTTTTGCCTATATATATCATTATGAAAATGATGTGGGTTGCACAGGGTAGTACACACAGTAAAATCAGACTATCAGCGTTTACATAGGTTACTTAGTGGCTTTGCAATCTTTGTAATAAGCTTCTGCCACCGGGGACGAAATTTCGCGGAAAAAATCTGCTTTACGGCAGGAAACACGACATGTATTGTGAAATTGGTCGGTCAGCCAATCAGGGACTGGAGCTGGTCCTTATGAGGAGTTGGGCATGAGATAGTTGAGTCACGAGCACAATGGCAGACGGACAAAGTTTGGAAACAAGTGAAAAACGGCCTAGCGAAAGAAAAGGAGCTCCTCTGTGTGAGGAGGCAAAGAAGAGCAAAAAGGAGAGTGATAAAAGAAGAGGAAAAACAAGAGTAAACCTCAGTCAGGTGTTCAAGAGATGGAGGGAGCTGTGACCAAAGAGGCTTCAACACCCATGTCCAGCTAGCTTTCTTTCTAATGGATCAGTAAGTAACACGGCTAAATGTTAGCTAGACCAGAGAGGACTGTACTGTACTGGCTGCTAGTTCATTCCTAGCTGGCCAGCATCGCAAATCACCGCAACCAGGGAGCGGGTAGCGAGTGTTGGTCGGCTGACATCCTGGTTGCCATTCAACAGCAGCCCTCGGACAGTGATTATCCCCTCCCCCCCTCCGCCGCCACCTCCTCTCTTCTGTCAATACACTCTGCCTGCAGTTTAATAATATTGATGCCAGTTGTAACATTTGAATCTTTTAGTAGTAAGCCATGTTCTAAGTGGGATAATGTATAGTGAGCCGGTGACAGTTGAAAAATAACTCAGCTGCACGTCGGGGTTCCATTCCCCTGTCAGGAGTTATTTTTCAACAGTCACCGGCTCACTATACATTATCTCTTACATGTCTACTGTTGTTTGTACTGATACTGTACATATTGGTATCATTTACTGTGAGTTGTTTGTACTGGTACTGTGCATTCTGCTATAATTATTTGCATTACTATTTGTTTTTTCTTCAGATAAATCTGATAATTGTTGCTCGGTCTCTTCACTCATTTATTTAGTATAGTGTCCACACACCTTCTCATTCTACATATACATAGAGGTATACTGGTGGCCTACATTTTATTATCTCTGATCCCCACGGTCAATTTGGTCTTTGCGACAGTGCGAGCAACACCGCTGACGCTAGGTGGCGCCAAGCTACAAAAAACCTAATCCTATCTGTTGCCTCTTTAAGGAGATTTGTGTTACAACAAAGATCACATATTACAGCTTTAAATGCTAATACGCTCAACAAAAATTTGACCTGACAGACGCAATTTACACCATGTTTTTAGTCTAAATGACAACTGCAACCTCTCAGAATTGTCAGACCAGCATGCATGTTCACAAGCACACGCCTGAAGCACGTACACAAATACGAGGGCGACGGTCATCCTCCGCTGAAAAAAACAGCCCATATTCAAACCATCTTTTTAAATATTTGTCCCACTGAAAGAAGTTACAACGGTTTCTTGTCAGATAAAAGACCTAAAATGTTATTATAGATCCGACAAAGGCACGCGTTGCTTTTTAAAAATCCAGCAGATCTCTCTCTGCTGTGAGAGTCGCTTCCAGGTAGCATGTAAACACAGGTATGCAGGTACTGCGAGATCTCATTGATCTTGTGTCGGTTACAGTTGAAATTTAGGCTAAAAACATGGCGTCTTCTCAGGTCAAATTTCACTGTCTCCGCTTACGGACATTTGGGTTACACCACACAAGCAGTATGGACTTTTTTTTTTTTTTTTACAAATTAAAACTGGTCACCATTCAATTCAAATCGTACTGGATTTGGCTGCAATGCTGTCTTTAGCTAAAACTCCAGGAGTGTTTTGTGAACTGGAGATCTTCACCCATCCTCACATCAGCACAGGGGTGAGTAGATATTGAGTGAATTCTCATTTTTGGGTAAACCTTAAAATCTTATACTGAAGATTTAAACCCTAGTTTCTCTCAAACCCAATTTACCCTCCATCAGCCAAGACAAAAAAAAAAGAACTCACATCTTTTACTTGGATTATAGTTAGTACCACAACATAAAAGTACTTCAATACAAATTAAAGTCCTGTGTTTAAATTCCTACATTAGAAAAAAGAAAAGAAGCCAGCACTCACAAATGTCCTTTTGGTAAATTTAATAAACCAACTTGGGTGGCGTTACCAGAAACACAGATGTTTCGACAGAAAGTCTTCTTCAGTGTGTAACTCAGGTTACGGAAGTGGCGTTTAAGTACGCTCGAAGCAATCAGAGCAGGTGTGTGGAAAGACAATTTACACTTCCGCCATACAATATAGGGCCAACTCACGGGCAAAGAAAAACACAATAACAATACAAAGATCTTAAACCTGTGTGTCACAGCAAAATAGCAGTAGATACACCGAAAATCGATATACATATCCATAATAAATTCTGCTCATACAAAAAGGCACTGTGAACAACAGTAAAACGTGTGCTTGAGGGGGCAAATAAAGTACCCAACTGTCAAATAACCATTAATTAAAATCAACAAATTGTCCCTCAATTAACAATCAGATCACTAGTGCACGGTAAGAGGAATGAAGTACAAAAAAGTCACTGAGTAGCTGTCCCTCAATTAACAATCAGAACACAAATGCACAGAAAGAAAAATAAAGTGCAACAAAGTCACTGAGTCGCTGTCCCTTAATTAACAATCAGAACACAAATGCACAGAAAGAAAAATAAAGTGCAACAAAGTCACTGAGTCGCTGTCCCTCAATTAACAATCACAAATGCACAGAAAGAAAAATAAAGTGCAAAAAAGTCACTGAGTCGCTGTCCCTCAAATAACCAGTTGATTTATGTGCCCGCTTTAGTGCTAAAGGTTATGATAAGAACATTCTTGACAACCGTCTCCAGAGAGTGAGAAAAATTGATAGGAAAACTTTATTAACACTTAAACCATCCTCCTCTAAGACCTCTAACCTGGTCTGTGTGCTTACTTTTTCTGATTTGTCCTATGATGTTAAAAACTGTATTAAGAGACACTGGCACATTCTGGCTAGCGATCCTAATTTAGGCCATATTTTTAAGAACACTCTTATTTTCGCTCAGAAGCGTGCTGCTAATTTGAGAGATTTGTTAGTTAGAGCTGATTGTTTTATTCAGCCCCAACATTTTTTGTCTCTTTTACCTGTTGGCAATTTTCCTTGCCACAGTTGCATTCAGTGTAACGCCATGATTAAGGGTAATACGTTCACACATCCCCACTCAGGTAAAAAGTTTAAAGTTAAAGGTAGAATTTCATGCAAATCTAAGTTTGTTGTGTATCTGTTGAAATGCCCTTGCGGCTTATGCTATGTTGGTAAGACTAAAAGAGAGCTTAAGACTCTTATCTCTGAACACAAAAGCAACATTAGAACCAAAGTCGAAAAATCTTCTGTAGCAAGACACTTCACTGCAGCAGGTCACGAGGTTTGCTCTTTAAGATTTCATGGAATAGAAGAAGTTAAACCATTTTAAAGAGGGGGAGATAGAGAGAAAGCTCTTCTACAGAGAGAGGCTTTTTGGATCCATAGGTTACAGACAGAATTTCCTAAAGGTATGAATGAAGAGTTGCTGTTAAGTTGTTTTCTGTGACTACTATAGACTGACTTATGTTATCACCCATGATACGGTGTCGGCACTATACACTGGGCTTTGTACCCGTTGAATTTTCTGCTGCTGACGGTGCATACTTAGATGACCTGTTAGTGGAACCTCTCAGTGACTATCTGCATTTCTTGTTTTCACTGCGCTCTTATGATCTAAATGTTAACTGAGGGGTGACTATTTCTTATGAAGTTCTCTTTTTTTACTTCTTTCCCAACCGTTATTTATGGGATAAAGATGCAGATCTCCAGTACTCTTTGCATTTTACTGTGCACTCATCATCTGATTAAGTAAGGGACAGTGACCGTATGTATTTGTACACTTTGTCTATTTTTAACGTATTTTGACATCTGTCTCTTAGCGAGGGACAGCTACTCAGAGTGTTTTGATGCAGGTTGTTTACTTTACTATGCATTTATGGCCTAATTGTTAATTGAGGGACAGCTAGTCAGTACTTTATCCTTTGTACTGTGCACTTGTGATCTGTTTGCTAATTGAGGGACAGTTACTCAATGACCTTCTTGCACTTTATTTTTCTTACTGTGCATTTGTGATTGTTAATTGAGGGACAGCGACTCAGTGACTTTTTTGCACTTTATTTTTCTTTCTGTGCATTTGTGTTCTGATTGTTAATTGAGGGACAGTGACTCAGTGACTTTGTTGCACTTTATTTTTCTTTCTGTGCATTTGTGTTCTGATTGTTAATTAAGGGACAGCGACTCAGTGACTTTGTTGCACTTTATTTTTCTTTCTGTGCATTTGTGTTCTGATTGTTAATTGAGGGACAGCTACTCAGTGACTTTTTTGTACTTCATTCCTCTTACCGTGCACTAGTGATCTGATTGTTAATTGAGGGACAATTTGTTGATTTTAATTAATGGTTATTTGACAGTTGGGTACTTTATTTGCCCCCTCAAGCACACATGTTTTACTGTTGTTCACAGTGCCTTTTTGTATGAGCAGAATTTATTATGGATATGTATATCGATTTTCGGTGTATCTACTGCTATTTTGCTGTGACACACGGGTTTAAGATCGTTGTATTGTTATTGTGTTTTTCTTTGCCCGTGAGTTGGCCCTATATTGTATGGCGGAAGTGTAAATTGTCTTTCCACACACCTGCTCTGATTGCTTCGAGCGTACTTAAACGCCACTTCCGTAACCTGATTTACACACTGAAGAAGACTTTCTGTCGAAACATCTGTGTTTCTGGTAACGCCACCCAAGTTGGTTTATTAAATTTACCAAAAGGACATTTGTGAGTGCTGGCTTTTTTTCTTTTTTCTGCTGCTTTTGGCCGTGCACCTGTTGAGTGGATTTATTTTGAGAGTGCTTGCTTCTTTCCTACATGATTTTAAATTCCTACATTAAAAATCTATCTCAAGTATCTACAGTAAAATAGGGCTGGGCAATTAACCGAAAACATACCGAAACCGACATTCAGACCCTCTAACCGACGTAATCTTACTCATGTCGGTGATTTCGGTTATTACGTTCCCCGTGCTGTCCCCTTGGAAAAACAAAACAAAACTATGCCGCGTGAGTCACCTGACTCCTCCCGCTCATCTAGTCTACGTTAACTTAGTCTCGCTCACCAGACCTTTCTCAAGAAAAGAAAGGTCTGGCTGGGCCGACTCTCTCAGGTTTTGGTGTAACACGCCCACAAAAATATCGCCTACAGGATGCGAACCATGGCAGAAAAATGGCTACATCCCCGCAAGATCAAACACCGCAAAAGTTAGTAAAGGACGTGTTGAAAACGGTTGAAAACTGCTACACACCCAGAGGTGGTAGGGCGGGACTTCAGCAGGTGGCTCGTTCCGCCCAATGAGAGGCTGATCTATGCAGCGAACTTCCGCCCACTCAGACTAACGTTTACTCAAAGCGAGGCTGGCGCTGCCCACATGGAGGAGACGAGCACAAACACCGAGCCAACAAACCAACTCGAGCAGCTTGTACCCAAACACAGGGTTTTCCCTGCCTATCTAAGAAAGACGAGCCATCTGGGTGATTTTGGCCGCCGCTTTCGTTAAAGTGTGTGAGTGCATGGAGGGCATTCAGATGTAGCTTCTTTTGTGCGCACAAACCTATTACTTTCAATGTAGACGCAGGTGATGTGCGCTCACAACCCAAAGCGACGCCATAGCGGCACGCATTTAGGGTTGTCTTATGTTAGAGGAGTAAATATACATAGTTAGACTCCACAGTCAATTTTAAAATACTGTAGAACAGAAGTTTCTAACTTACTGATCTTTCCAAGCTTCAACAGGATAAGAACAATGACAACAATGGCAGCAGCGACACAACAGCAGACAATGAGGACATTTTTCCACAGAGGTTCCGTCTTTGCAGCACCTGAAGGAGTATCAGACAGTGTTGAGAAGAAGAGTCTCTGAGGTGATGCAGGTTTTTTCTCTTGTAATGTGGTTATTAATTCTGATCATTAATCTATAGTGTGCTGCTCCTGATTAAAAGAATAATAAAATCATTAATACTCAGCTCCCACAGTCAGATTATCTTGTATTTAAAGAGATCGTAGGATAAAGTGAATCAAAGAAAACTGAACAAAGACATTTACCTTCATCGTCTGACTTGGTCACTCCTTCCACTGGAGGTTTAGTTGTGCTGGAGTCATCTCTCCTCGTCCGGTTCTGTGGGTCTTTGGGTACTGTTTATACAAAAAGACCAAGATGTTGTCGGTACTGAGGGGAAAATACAGATCAAAATATCTTCTAGTAGTCCGAGAAAGCTGCCCAGAGAGGTTAAGTGACTATGACTTCTCACAAATGATAACATACAAACATCTAGTTAGAGGAAAGAATAATTAATGTGATGAAGTAACTTAAAATGCACAACTACATGTAAATAATTTCCTAAAATCTAGATATCAATTTATCACCACTTTAAGTTTAGCAGCATCTCCATTAGACGATTTCATCAACATCACACATGTTCTGCCTCTCTGTATTTTAAATATACATACTGTGTGTATATATATCACATATTACAATCTATACCGACCATCTTTTGGCACAAGAAACCTCTCAGGATGAGTTACATACAAAAATCAGATTACGGTCTCAAATCAGGGTCAAAAACTTTATTGGGATATTCCCGGTTCTGACTAATGTGTATTAAACTCAGCATGCTTACCAACACTGAGGTCAATATCCCAACTGGCATCCAGTTGTGGGACAAAGCCCTTGTATTGTCCACTGTCAGACAGCTTTACTGAAGAGATAATCAGTGTCACGATTCCTCTGGTCAGGTCTTCATGGATGAGAGTTGTCCTGTCCTTGTACTGAGCCATCTGTGTTTGAAGATGGTCCTTTCCTTTTCGATACACATGGACATCATTTTCATTGACATTAATAAGGTCATCTCTGCTGACATCCACTGTGTAAGCAGACAAGTTGACCCCAGGAGCCAGAGGAAACTGAAGAGTAACATTGTCACCTTCTACTGCTGTGATTGGTTGACTCGTGACACCTGGGGAAACAAAGGTAACACAGTGTCAACACGTCTGAATGACAGAGTTTATGTTTTTTAATTCAGTGGTGCAACAGTTTCTGATATGTGAATATGCTGTTCCACCTCATTTCAGTTCTCCTGTGCAGAATAAATTGATCAGTGGGATGGTCTGATTTGTCTAACGAGCTTGATGCACACCTGCAGCTCTTCATAATAAATGCTACATTTCACTTGTTTCAGCTCGAGTACAGAGAGAGTATTCTTTGCTCTTTGCTTCATTATGAACTATTATAAATATGTGACACATGTACTATGCAGCTATTGTCGTCATTCATTATGTATTTAGTGTGGTATCCTGGCCCATCTGTATAAAACAGTAAAGTTATGTCATCTTATATACAGACACACAACAGGGTGAACACAATAACATGAACAGCTGTCCCAGTGTAACACAATTATAACATCCCTGAGGCCAACACTACATCTGTGAGGCTTGTTAATAATGTTTCTTGTTGACGGTCCCTCAGATTTTGTTTCGACTTGGATATTTCCTCTGATTTGGTTTGTGTTGTTCTGCTGGATTTATTATATTGTACATGAACACTTCTATCCACTATTTAGTGTCAAATGAGACGAGGCCCTCCCAAGGACAAAAACATAAAATTCACACAGCTTTAACACTGACAGACAGAGTTGACATTTTTCAATTCAGAGGAGCAATAATTCCCTAAAATGTAAATGTGCTGTTACACCTCAGCCCTTCCTCCCATTACAGGCTCTTCCTCCTGTAATGAATAACTTGATCAATGGGACAGTTTCATATCTAGCAAGCTTGATGCACGTCTTCAGTTCTCCACACTAAACTTATAAATGTCTCAACAGTATCAAATATGGATCTTCTCCCCTGTGCTATCTCCCGTGCCCCTCCTCCATATTAAACGCTCTCCGCCATTGTGCGCTAATATTTTGGTGATACCATAAACGCACCAAGATGCAAGTTATTACGTTTTTGAAAGCCCTAAATCTCCTCCTGACCCTTGTCACTCACATAAATGCCGTCGTCCCGGATAAATGATTTAAAAACATGTAGTACAGGTCCTGCTCGAAGCAGCGTCTTAGCGTCCTCTTATCGAGTTAGCTAACAGGTGCTAATGCTAGCGCTAGCTAAACTTTTCTATCAACTTTTTAACGACGCTATAAGCATGTCAGCATGAACTAAACACATCTTTAACAATGCTTTATACTTGTCAACATAGCGATCGACATTATACCAATGTTATAAACTCAAATAATGGCAACGCGGACAACTTTGAGCTAACGTTACGGCTTTATAACTTAACGTTAGTTACCACGATCTATGAGTAGTTAGCATAGGCCTACATAACGTTAGCCTCCAATTTTAACTTACCAGTGTCAGCATACAGCACAAAAAAGCTACATAGAAAGATTAAGATTGACAGCACGTCGCTCATCGTCGCTGTAAGTGATGTTACAGGTCCTGTCATTTAACGTTAACCGGAAGCTGCTAGCAGAGAACGTCAACATGCCGGTCTGTCTGGGGACTTTGCTGCATTACAAAACTGGCGCGTTGTACAAGCTCCACACAGCAGAGGAGGAGCGTTTAAAGGGACACACACACACACACACACACACACTGCACAGCACAAAATGCTTCAACTTCTGAACCGTCTCATCATTTAAAATGCTCTATAAATAAATGTCTCTCTCTGTCCCAAAATGTAACCAATGAATATCTACAAATCTAAAAAGACATGCCTCATGTTCTCATTTATCCAGGTCATAGAAATCCCAAGGCAATTGAATCGAACACAACTGGACTTGGTTTTGTCTTAGAAGACGTTTCACCTCTTATCCAAGAGGCTTCATCAGTTCATGCTTGTCAGACTAGTCTGGAACAAGTCTGAAAAGAGCCAAAAAGAGCTCTAAAAAGACCCACAGCTCCTCCATATCACTCTGCTGATTTCAGACTGCAGAGACACTCGTAATGTTAAGATCAACTCCACAAACTGAACAAAGTTAAAGTTATACTCTGATGTTACTATGATGACTGTCACCTTCAATGATCCAGTTAATGGTGAAACCACCAAGAAAGACCTCAGTGTGGAGATGCATTTGATTTTCCCCAAAATAAGACACACTGACAACTAATGCAACACTCACTATAAACTGCAGTCAGTAAATTAATTTTATTTAAATGGTAAATTGTGTTGCAACAAGTTTTCTAAAAGACTTAAGTGAATGAAATGAACAAATTAACAATATTAAGAAGCATTTGAGGATTTAAGCTCCACTGCATGGTTTCCAGTACTTAGTGTAATACATCCACATACACTGAATTTTAAATTTTCCACCAGATACTACACACAGCAGCCATCTCAATTACACTTTCTCTAAAAAATAGCATATAAATACATTATTTACCTGTTCCTGTGAAGTGTAAATAAAGTTCAAATGTTGAAGGCTCTCTGTCTTCCTGCCCTCTCCTCTCCCTCCCCATATGTGCACTAACAACGCGTGGTGCTGGCTCCGCCCAGTTTGGCGCGATCAAAGAATCTCTTAGCTGTCATTGGCTGAGAGAGCACGTCGAGCGCGCCAGTTACGTGCTTTTTCGCGGGTTTTTTTTTACTTGCTGCACACACTGACAGACCCCTGCAACAGTTTTACTTCTGTTCTCTTTTCACTTACAGAAACAGTTCCGCCATCTTTAAAGTCTTATCGACAGTCGTGGCACTTCCTTCAATAACATCAGCTCAAATATCAAACTTATATGATATAAAAAAGTAAGCACACTATATAGATGTGAAGATGTGTAAATATACTGTACATAACCACCCTTTGTGTAAAAGTGTACATGTCGGAGGGGGGCACAGGGGACACTTCCACCTCACTGTCTAAAATATTTGTAAATGACTTTTATTTTGACAAAATTATTATTATGCAGAAAATGCAGTGCATAAAAAAAGTCACTAGAATTGAGGAAATTAAGTGTTTCATACTCAACATTTATACATCTAATTCACAATTTCTAGTTTGTTAGCAATTCATAGAAACACTTAAACCTCTATGTAGATGTCATATTCTTTTTCATTGTTGCTTTCATATATAAAGTACATCTATGCATCTATTTTTGCCTATTCTATGTCTATTTCTACCTACCTTCCAAAAAACTGTTTAAAAATCTATGTTGGTAGTCTTTATCTTACACTTTTGGCCCCATAATGTACTGTTTGAAAGGTTGTGGACAGGGGTCTGGGGATGATTGTCATGCTTTAGTCTATTCTATCAAAAGGAAAATCTGTTTACATACAATTATATTTTATATTTTAGAGAACAGTGTTCAGTTTGTGTTTGTTCATTTCCTGTTTGGTGTGTAAAACCTTGACCCTCCTCTGCTGGTGTCTGGTCTGCACTTTGTCTTACATGTCTTGATGAGGTGACACATCAATGACTGCTGTGTATCCCTTCTTCTTTAAGAGCAAGCAGACTAATATATATATTTTAAATCCTAGTCATCATCACAGTAGATAAAAAATAAATGATGCAGACTTTGGAGGTCATATTAAAAGAAAAGCTGCAGTGCATTCAATCACAGCTGCAAAGTGACAAAATATGTTTTACTTAATTTGTCTTGTATTTTCTCAGACCAATTTTTGGTTCATTTTAATAAACACCAGCTGAAGTTACTACCTACACAAAACCACTGTTACCTCAAACTGTAATGCTTACATGAAGCTTAGACTCATCCACAGAAGTGTATGAAACACATAAAATCAAATTTAATTAAAAATGAACATAAAACGCTTGGATGTTGGTGCACTAATAAGAAACAATCATTATTTGGATTGAAAACACATATACCCAATCATGTTACTGCTGAAATATCTTTAATTTTGCTTGAGTAAAATCTTTGATGACACATTTGATATTTAATTTTAACTTCAAAAAAGGTTGTTTTTTTTAATTCAACTCTGGAAATCAGACATTAAAACACAGAATCAAAGCAGGGATAGAAAACACAAACACTGTGCATCAGGTGCTCTTTTTTACAGTATTTATTTTAAAAACATTTAAAGGAAAGATTGGAAAATTAAATGAAGGCGGCGATATCAGGAGGCGATACTGAAATTTGTTGTTATTCTGTACACACTGCATTCATGTCCTTGTCTGTCTGTCCTGAGAGAGGTGTGACCGTTTGTTTAGATACTGCAAAGCAACATTATTGGTCACATTTCAGAGGAAACTCCACTCAGTTGTTCAGCAGGAATAACAATTTGACAAAAGAAAAAAAAATACAATCAATAATATATCAACTATGAATGAATATTAAGAGAAAGAACAAAATGAAGACAACGAATTAAGTTAAACACAAACGTGATGTAGATGTGCAAATAATCAAAACACAAAACACCTTTGTTGTACCTGTTATCTCTGACTGAGGCTGGTTTGACAAACCCTAAAGTCTCAGTCAGAGATAACAAGTACTACAAAGATGGTTATCACCATTAACCCAGGGTTTCTGCTTCAGGCTCTGTGTACGTTCCCATAAAACCAGTGAAATGACACGTCCAGCACATCTGACTGTTAAATATGATCAATCTGTGCCACCTAGTCCCACCTTTAAAGAACATTAAAAAAGTATTACACTAAAAGGTATTACACTGATATTCCTAATTCTGACTAATCTGAATTAATCTGTATTAAACTCAGCATTCTCACCAACACTGAGGTCAATAACACATTTGGCATTCAGTTCTTGGACAAAGACCTCATATGGTCCACTGTCAGACAGCTTTACTGGAGAGATAATCAGTGTCAGGATTCCTCTGGTCAGGTCTTCATGGATGAGAGTTGTCCTGTCCTTGTACTGAGTCATCTGTGGACGAAGATGGTCCTGTCCACGTACACACGCGTGGACATCATTGTCACTGTCATCAAGGTCAAGTCTGTTGACATCCACTGTGCAAGCAGACAAGTTGACCCCAGGAGCCAGAAGACACTGAAGAGTGACATCGTCACCTTCTACTGCTGTGATTGGTTGACTCGTGACACCTGGGGAAACACAGGTAACACAGCGTCAACACGTCTGAAGGACAGAGTTTATGGTTTTCAATTCAGTGGTGCAACAGTTTCTGAAATGTGAATATGCTGCTCCACCTCATTTCAGTTCTCCTGTGCAGAACAAACTGATCAGTGGGATGGTCTGATATGTCTAACGAGCTTGATGCACACCTGCAGCTCTTCACAATAAATGCTACATTTCACTTGTTTCAGCTCGAGTACAGAGAGAGTATTCTTTGCTCTTTGCTTCATCATGAACTATTATAAATATGTGACACATGTACTATGCAGCTATTGTCGTCATTCATTATGTATTTAGTGTGGTATCCTGGCCCACCTGTATAAAACAGTAAAGTTATGTCATCTTATATACAGACACACAACAGGGTGAACACAATAACATGAACAGCTGTCCCAGTGTAACACAATTATAACATCCCTGAGGCCAACACTACATCTGTGAGGCTTCTTAATAATGTTTGTTGACGGCCCCTCAGATTTTATTTCGACTTGATATTTCCCCTTCTGTCCTTTGTGTTGTTCTATTGGATTTATTATAATGTACATGAACACTTCTATCCACTATTTAGTGTCAAATGAGACGAGGTCCTCCCAAGGACAAAAACATCTTTAGCTTCTGTCTGTCAGCTTTAACAATGACAAAGTTAAAGTTATACTCTGATGTTACTATGATGACTGTCACCTTCAGTGATACAGTTAATGGTGAAACCACCAAGAAAGACCTCAGTGTGGAGATGCATTTGATTTCCCCCAAAATAAGCCACACTGACAACTAATGCAACACTCACTATAAACTGCAGTCAGTAAATTAATTTTATTTAAATGGTAAATTGTGTTGCAACAAGTTTTCTAAAAGACTTAAGTGACTGAAATGAACAAATTAACAATATTAAGAAGCATTTGAGGATTTAAGCTCCACTGCATGGTTTCCAATACTTGGGGCCAGATCTACTAAAGGTTTGCGTGTATAAAAGCGTGTGCAAACTCATTGCACACGCAAAAAAAAATGTACAAACTGATTTACTAACAGTGCGCACTAAGGGTTGCGTCTTTCAAAAGGTGCCAAATAGCGTGTCTGCATCCAGTTAGTACGTTTGCTGCAATGAATATGCAATATGGGGCGTTTACACGCAATTGTGCGTGTGCTGGGAGGAGAAAATGTAAATATATTAATTTAGCACATGCAAAGTGATTTATTAAACCTGAATGCAATTTTGTACATAGAAACTGCGTCTGTATTTAACACGTGTCAAAGGGAGGTGCAAACGGTTTGCACACACATGGCTGTAGTTATTGTTGCAAGGAGACATCGAAACGATGCAAAAGACGCAGAAAACACATTTTTCACCCTCGTGTGAACATTTTTGGAATGAATGAGGAAACAATTATTAAAACATATCGCCTATCCAGCATTCCCATTTTGGAACTGTTGGAGGAACTCAGAGCGCATTTGGAGCGAGCCACTAGAAGGAGTCACACAATACCTGCAATGACAAAACTCCGTGCAGGTTTAAATTTTTTTTGCATCTGAATCATTCCAGCGTACGGTGTCCTCCTGAGACCTGTTCTCAACCCGACCACTGCCGGAGAGATAAGGTACAACGAGGTCCATATCCGCACACGGAATATTGTGGAGCGCACCTTTGGAATCCTGAAGAGCAGGTTCCGTTGTTTGGATCGTACTGGAGGAGCACTGCTGTACAGGCCAGAAACGCAGCAATCTCATTCGAAGTCACTTCTTGTGAGATGTTTGGTATATGCATTTATTTTTCTATTTTCATTCAATAATACGTAATGCAGAAATACACCTTGATTAAACATATGCTGTAGATTAGAATAGGAGTGCTAGTGTAACCCAATAAACTGCAGAGCATTGCAAAGTCAAGCAAATCAACATTTATTGAAAAAGTGATGACTGAAATCACTTTTTAGGTTCCAAACATTATTATCAAAGGAAATACTCAGTCTCATTAATGTCTAATTATGTTAAGCTACTCAAAATCATATTAAAGACACATTGTTTCAGACACAAAATATATCAGACTATAGCTCTAACATTTATCATGGCAAAAAAGAAAACTAAACAGTTCTTTATCTTATAGCCTATTGTCAGAGCCGGCCCAAGGCATAAGCGAACTAAGCACTGGCTTAGGGCCCCGTGACCACTAGGGGGCCCAAGAGCAATTAACTTCAAAAAAGAAAAAGAGAAAAAATTATTTTTTTCCATGTGTGAGTGATGATGATTCATATATTAATCAAATGTACATTTTTGTACAAAAAGACAATATTATGTTAACAGAGTGTAGTTTCCTACTGCCTCTCTGCTCTAAATGTCAGAGCTCTGCTATTCAGGTGTGCAGCAGTGTGCACTGCGCATCCAAGGAGCTAGGAGCAGGTGTAAGGCCTAATAATGTCGCAACAAAGGACATACCCTTCAGGGACAGAAGAAAGAAAGAGGAACAAAGAGGAAGGGGAGAAAAAACGACATGATAAAGGTATGTTTGCATGTCTTGGTAATGTAACGTTGGGTGTCAAGGAGATTTTGAAAAGTTTCCTCAAATTAGGAAAGTCCCTAATTATTGTTGATATTTTGTTCCAACTATGTTAGCCTACAATAGCAAATTAGCTAGCTAACATTAGTTCAAAACTAGAGAAATGTCTCTTAACTGGTAGGTTAGATAGCTTACTATTCAAGCTAACCTGTTTGTGTTTGCATAATACTTGGATTAAGTTGATTCTCGGTGTATATATAGGCTCTATATATTTTTTCTGGCATGATAACAACGTTTGATAGCAAATGTTTAATAACAACTAACATTAATTACAGACGCAGTGACGTTTGCTAGCAATATGTTTTTGCATTAATGAATTAACTCAGTTAACTTGTAGTTTGAGATATGTTGTTTGCTGCAGAGCATAGTAATTTATGTGAGTAAATAAACATATTCCTTTTAAAACAACTCCCTGTTATGCTCATAAGTTATATGAAACTTCCCCAGGAGCACTGTTAAAAGTATTTTGGAGGAGGCACTGACTCAGCCCAGGGGCAGTCACCTCCTCAGGCTCAGCCAAGGCAAATGAATCAGGTGAGGGAAAAACTGTCACCATATATACTTAATTTCTAGTCAAATTATCTCATTAGGTTTTAATATAAGACATAATCATATGAAAAGGGACATGTTTTTAGACAAATGCATATTATTTAAAAACTTCTCAAGCAATTTTCAGTTGGTCCACTGGCAGATTGTTTTCTTATTACAAGTTATAGCTGTACTATTCTACTCAGAAAATAAGCAGCATAATTTTCAAGTGTAATATGACATCTAATATGACTAGCTTTTGTTTTTGTTTTTCATCTTATGTCCATCTCCATCCTTTGCTCCATCCACTGTGCCCACTGTCCCCTCTGTGTTGCAGTTTATTTAAAACAAAAAATAATAAAGCAGATTGTGTTTACAGTAAATGATTGGTTTATTTTGTTACTTTTAGTTGGTCTAGATGACATTCGGTATCCCACTTAGTACTATATCACTTTGAATATTAAGTGTAAATCAACCCCTGGCTGCTCTTGTAGCTGAATTTGCTACCATTTCAGATTAAAAACCATAGATGGGAAAAACATGCCGGGCTGCTCTTTGAGGTTTTACAGTATGTATTGATTCTCTGTGTGGCCAGTAGGGGGACTTGCTGACTTTGCCAAATATTAATTGAAAGATTTTTCAGCCAGTCCGCAAATCTGTTGTCTGCTTCCATGCCCTTAATCACTGTGGATTACAATCTAACTACAACAGAAAGTTCTCACATCTAGTTTTACAAGTGTATCTGTAATGACAGAGTAGAACATGAAATAAGTTATAGTAGGTGTGTGAATGATCAATAATCATTATTATTGGCAGTGATATAGGGCCCCAAATCAAATTTTGCTTAGGGCTCCACGGAGGCTTGGGCCGGCCCTGGCTGTTTTACACAAAATGAATATTCACAGCCAGTATAAGAAAACTTAAACGTGACAGTTGAGTGTATTATTTGTGTTTCCTTTTACGCCGGTGGAACTTGTCCGGCGTGTGCACCTCTCCTCCCTCTGCGGTCCCAGGCTGCCTAGCTGTCGCTGTGGGACTTGGTCGGCCCGCTTCTCCACCTGGATTGAGGGCAGTCAATGCCTGAACCCCTTCCCGTATCTCTCTTGCCACAGAATTGACGGCCATCGTCAGGGCAGATACTGCGCTGACCACCTGTCTGCAGTGCGTGGCAATGGCCTGAGTGTCGCGCCTGGCCGCCCGTGCCATTGATGACGCCGCTCGCATCTCTCGTGCAATTTTCTGAAGGGCTGCAGACTGTTTCTTTTGTTCCTGCAGCATCTCCAGATCAATGTCCTCTGGGCCCTTTCGAGGCTCTGCAGGGGTGGCGGCTGCTCTGGGGGAATTTGACGGGGATGGCTGAACTTCTGATGAAGATTCTATATATAAAAAAGAAATGTTTTTTGTTAGGGATTTTACTTTAAAGACAGAAAAAAGTTACCACAGGAGGTACATTCATTTTTCACTTCGTAAATAAATATCTTTTCAGAAAAAAAAAACTGTTACTGTGCACCTACCTTGTTCAGCTTTTAGGTCCAGTGTGTCATATCCAGCAATTCCAGTGACTTGCTCCTCGCAGAACGTTAACTGCACCTGTTCCTCAATCTTGGTCAGAGGTATCTCATCTACTGACGTTTTATTATACGCCAATTTTTCTTTTGTTCTTCTTCTGATGTCTTGATGTCTTCTTTTCACTTCATGCACTGTTCGTACCGTTTTACTAACAGCATTTACGTTTTCACAGATTTCTTCCCATATAGCGGTCCTTTGTGAGACACTCAGGTTTTTTTTCTGTAGCTCATGTAAGTGTTTATTGGCCTCATCTACCAGAACCTCTAATTCCATAGGGTCGAATTTCACTTTGCGCTTTCTCTCCAAACTCGCCATGCTGCAAACCATGAAACATGCAAAACCGTAATTTAAACAGGCTGTCTCCAACACGTTTGCACCTGTTGTCATATAGGCCTACGCAATCACTCTTAGTAAATCACCCGCAGCCCCACACGCAAAATTCTAGATTGCGCAGGCAAATTAGTACACGCAAACTGGGATCTTAGTAGATGCGGCCCTTGGTGTAATGCATCCACATACACTGAATTTTAAATTTTCCACCAGATACTACACACAACAGCCATCTCAATTACACTTTCTTTAAAAATAGCATATAAATACATTATTTACCTGTTTCTGTAAAGTGTAAATAAAGTCCAAATGTTGGAGGCTCTTTGTCTAACTGCCCTCTCCTCTCCCTCCCCACGTGTACTAACATCGCGTGGTGCTGTACTCCGCCCAGTGAGCGTCATCAAGAATCTCTTAGCTGTCATTGGCTGAGAGAGCACGTCGAGCGCACCAGTTACGTGCTTTTTCGCGGGTTTTTTTTACTTGCTGCAGACACTGACAAAGCCTCCTACCAAAGAGCATGAATACCAAGAGCCGAAGTTCAATAGAACGCCCCATAGCAACAAATTCCCCCATGGTTTCGTCCTACCGCCGCCATTTTGGACTGTCAGCAGACCGCAGCAGACGCGCTTGCATACAAAAACACACAGACAAACTGAAGTATATCGCTATTAATTATGCTTACAGTGCTACTCACCTCGTGATAGCTTGGTCACAGCTGCTTTTTCACGTTTTTGTAAAGCAAAATATAGACTTAAAAAAAAA